TGTAGACCAATGGAACCGAACTGAAGACCCTAACATTAATCCGCACATGTATGAACACCTAATTTTTGAAAAGAAGCCAAAACTGTACAATGGAAAAAGAAAGCATCTTCAACAAATGGTGCTAGCATAACTGGATGTCAACATGTAGAAGATTGCAAATAGATCCATATCTGTCACCGTGCACAAAACTTAAGTCCAAGTGGAACAAAGATCTCAACATAAATCCAGTTACTCTGAACCTGATAGAAGAGAAAGTAGGAAGTAGTCTTGAACACATTGGTACCAGAGATCACTTCCTAAATATAACACCAGTGGCACAGACACTGAGAGCAACAATTAATAAATGGGACCTCTTGAAACTGAGAAGCTTTTGTAGGGCAAAGGATACAGTCAACAAGACAAAACAACAGCCTACAGGGGAATCTGTGGTTGATATGTAAAACGAATAGAAAATCTCTTAATAAAAAGAAAAGAAAAAAAAAGAAAAGCTGGCAAGAAACAAGCCAAGCTAAGGCCAGGCATTTATAATTAAGAATAAGCCTCCATGTGTGATTTAATTTGGAACTGGGTGGGGCCCCCCAAAGAGCAAAAACAACCAACAACATGAAACCCTTGACCCCTAAGGCCTTGTGTGGCAGGCAGCTATTCTCCTGTAAGAGGAGGAGGTGAACACTGTGTGGTTCAGCCAGTCAGCTGTTTTCCTGTTCCCTCCCCTCCTCAAGGCTTCCTTTTCCTACCATTGAACCTCTAGGGATGATTGCATGTCTTTCAAATGTGTTTCCAAATTTGCTAAACACTCAGGGTTAGCATCATGTCATCTACATAGTGAAAACTTTTTACAGAGGATGAATAGGATAAGAAAGCAAGGCCCTGGGCCACTATCCAGGACAAGTAGTGGGGCTGTGTGGATAACTTCTGACAAGCACTTGAAAGTCCATTGCAATCCATTCCAACCAGAAGTCAGCAACTAAGTGGATACTATAGTCACATGTTAGCAAGATCTAACACAGCGTAGAAAGATCCTATCATCTGTCTCAGTTACTTCCTCAGATCAGTGTTGGCTACAGCAGCATGGATAGGAGCACCCCGATTAGTTCTGTGTATTCACACTCATTCTTCCCAAGCTGTCCCACTGATTCATCCTGGGGTTGTTCCCTTGGGGACTTTGTGTATCTCCCCTTGCTTGATGAACTCAATAAAGCCAGGTCAAGTTGCATGGCCATGCCTACCATGCCCAAGAATAGCTTACTGTGCCTACCAGCTACCAGAAGCCTACCTGCTTGGGCTTTAAAGATTCCCATGTACCTTTGCATGCAGTTCCAGCCACCAGATCCATCTCCATCAGCCATACCTAACTGCTGAAAAGATCTCTGACTAGGCAAATGAACTTCACCCCCAGAAGAGAAAGGCACGGGACATATTCCAAGAAGAAAGTTTCCTCCCCTCAATCTACATCATCATTTTTACCTGTAACTACTGTATGCCCACCTAGTGGGATGATGCTCATTGCCTCTGACATTTCTGGGTGGCACTAAAATCCACTGCACATGACTCCCACGTTTACCACACCCAGCTACTTCTCACATTAATAAAGACCTAGAAGTTAGTCATTAAATATAGGGCTTCAGTCAACCAACATGGTCCTCATCTGAGGATGTTTAGACTTGCCATCAGGGAACTGGCTTTTGTGGATTCCACTGGTAAGAGTGTCTCCCTCCACAGCCAGCATGGTGGCTTTCATCAAAGCCACTACAGCTCTGTCCAGGTCCTGATGTCACTGCTGAAATGACCTCTTTCTCAACTTGGTTAACACAGACCTGCTCGCCTGGTGATGTGAGCACCATTCTCCCTCACCCTCAGTTTTTTCACTGTCACTTTTCCTTGAGTTTTCCTCTTTATTACCCGATGCTTCCCTTATGTCCTAAGTTTTCAGATCCTGTAGAGGGCACTTTAACAGGTCTGAGTTGTGTCCCCAGCCAACAGAGGCTCAGGCAAAATGCATCACAGGAATGAGCTCCTGAAGGAAATCTCCCAGCTGGGATGTTGGTCATACAACTCTGGGATGTCAGAGATGATGTCCCTTTGGGTGGTGGCTGGAAAACACAATCACCCTACATGCTCTTTGCCTGACTCCATTTGCTCCACTGAACACTGAAGGCACAGCTGTAAATGTCACTTCAGAGAGTTTTTTCCTTTTACTATGACTTAGGGAGTGGGCCAGACTTTCAGAGTTCCCAACTCCAACACCTGAACATGAGTATTTTACAGACTTGGAAACTCTTTATGAATTTAAGACACTATACAGTTAGTCATTGAGAATTTGTGGTATTGGCAGAGGGAGACACAGAGCATAATGGAACAGAATAGAGAACAATAAAAGCGGACCCAGAGATGCACAGCCAATGCGTTTGTTTTACAAGAGTAAATGAATCCAATGGAAAAGAACGGTCTTTTCCACAGTTGGTGTTAGAATAACTGGGCACCCACATGGAAAAAACAAAAACACTTATGTAAATGTCTCATGAAAATAAACTCAAGCAGAGTGTAGTTGGGTATGCCTTTAATCCCAGCACCTGTCAAGTGGAGGGTGAAGGATCAGGAGTTCAAGGGCATCCTTGGCTACGTAGTGAGCTCAGCATCAACCAAGATATGAGACTTTATCTCAAAAATGAACTTAAAATGGGTCTTAAACTTACATGTGAAGTGAAAAATCACACAATCACACAATGCCTAGACAATTCCAGGAAGAAAGTCCAGGTGACTGTGGAAATGCCACCTCAAAAGCACAAGCCATGAAAGACAACTAATATGTTGACACCATTGGAATGAAAAACTTCTGTTTTGTAAAGGATGCTGTGAGCAAGTGATGATATAGTTGAGCTGATACAGTGCTTGCCCGGCATTCATGAAGCCCTGGGTTCAGTCCCTACCACTGCATTGACCATGTGTGGTGGCACACACCTGCAACCTGAGCACTTGAGAAGTGGAAGCAGGAAGATCAGAAATTCAAGGTCAGCCTTGGCTACATAGCTAGTTCAAATCCAGCCTGCAACACACAACAGCCAGTCTCAAAAGGAAAAAAGATGCTGTGAAGAGAATGAAAAGACAAGCTGTCAACTAGAAGAAAACATTGGCAAAGCACATCTCTGACAAAGAGTTAAAATTCAAGACACACAAAGAGCCCTCATCACTCAGCAATAAGAAAACAAACAACCCAACTGGAAAATAGGCTAAAGTTGTAGAGAGATCTCATGAGGAAAGATGTAAGTAAAAATAAACATGAAAAACTACTTCACATCAAATATCATCAGGGGACTGCAAATTAAAACACAGGCTGGCAAGAAGGCTTAGTGGGCAGAGGTGCTTGCCACCAAGCCTGAGGACCTGGGTTCAATTGTAGAGCAAGAGAACCAGTTCCCAAAGGTTGCCCTTGGATTTCTATATGTCCACTGTGGTCCTCTCCCTCTCTCTCTCTCTCTCTCTCTCTCTCTCTCTCTCTCACACACACACACACACACACACACACACACACACACACACACCACAAAATGAAACAATAGGACATGTTGTGTTGAAATGAACAGAACCCTGAACACTGACATCATCAATACTGATAAGGAAGGGAGCAACTGGAACCTCCATCTTTGAGGGAGTGCAAAATGCTGCAGCCACTGAAAGAGACACATGGCAGCATCTTACAAAAATGGAACACACTCTCACCCACCCCCTCCCCAACCCACCTATCTCACTCCAAGGTATGAACTCAAATGGTAGATCCACAAGGAAGCCTCACAAATGCTCATGGCTGCAATCATCTCAAACTGGGTAGAATCAAAAGGCCCTTCAGTAAGGGAATCACCACATTAAACACACTGCCACCTCCAGGTATAGAATGTGTGTAAGCAATCAGAGCAACTTGGCTGTTGTCAGAAACTGGCACAGCAGTGGGTCAGTGGTGGCATATGCCTGTCATATGCCTATGTCCTAGCACTTGGGAGGCAGAGGCAGGCAGATCTCTGTGAGTTCGAGGCCAGCCTGGTCTGCAAAGCAAGTCCCAGGACAGCCAGAGCTGTTACACAAAGAAACCCTGTAAAAAAAGAAAGAAACTGACGTAGCTGGAAATAGTAGAGATGGTGGGATGGGGGGCTCGGTTCAAACCTCAGGGGCCATCCCTCCAGCTGGGTCTGCACCGCTGTGCTCGCAGGGTCTTAGGAGGGAAAGCGGTGTGGGACACACATGTTCCCCAGCACAGCTTCCTGGCTCTGCCATCATAGCACAGTCAGGTAGGGGTGACCAATGAGGGAAGCTGGGGTAAGCTTGCATGACACCCTTCTCCATACCAGGAATTCAACTTCCTGATAGTCTGCCATTTGCTTTTATTTTTTATTCTATTTTTTAATATTTTGAGACAAGTTCACACGTAGCTGAGACTGTTCTTAAACTTGATAAGAAGCTGAGGGTGGCCTTGAAGCTACTGATCCTCCTGCCTCCCAGCCCCTCACCCCAGGTGCTATGGTTACAGTTGTGTGCTCCTAGATGCACACTGACAATATTTTAAGTTGTTGTTGTTTTGTTTTGTTTTGTTTTTTCTCTCTGGTGTGGACCTATGAGCACAGCCTCACAGAAGGAGGCAGGACACAACAAAAACCTAGGAGGAATCTCAGGAACAGGACAGTGGAGTTGACAAGGGAGCCTGGGCGTGTTCCCACTGACAGCATCCATGTGGATACATTTTGGTTCTTCTCAAATGGAGCTGGGAGCTTGTATGGAGTTTGGAGGAAAAGGAAAAAAGGAAAGCACCCAGAAAGCCCCTAACAGGAAGAATCATTGGACTTTCTCCGTCTTAATATTCAGATCTGTACCTTACTTTACCCATTCCTTTAAAGACTCCCAACTCTCAACTTCCACAAACTGGAAACCAACCCTGAGTGGGAATGAAGACAGAGAGGTGTAGCTGTGTGGGTTCACGCGGATCCGTGGAATGAAGACACAGAGGCATCTTAAGAAGGAATTTAGCCTATCATGGCTGCAGGGGGGTCCAGCCTCGAAGGACTGAAGCACTCTTTCCTTCACCTAGGGCATATTTATTTACTCTTTCTTACAGTTTAGATAGTTAATTTCCATACCTTCAAAAGCAACCCAAAAGGAGCTCCCAGAGACCAACTGCCATGTGCAAATTACTTGATTTATCAGGTACCTTGGTTTTCCGGGTTTCCTGGACCAAGTTTTGCATAGGCCTTTGATCCTTGGGGGACTCTCTGATCCTTGACTCTCCAACAAGATTCCCATAGGGCGATAAGAGAGACAAAAGGTGTGGTTAAACAAAGGAAGGATGAAGGCTAGGTGCTGCTCTCTGGAGCCAAGCCAGGAGCTCAGCAGGAATACCACTACAAAGAGGTGTTGAAGAGGACCCAGAGAAGCTCCTAGAAGGCTATGGGGACCCTCTAAGTCTCCAGCCTTGTCTGAACCCCACACACGCTAATCCCCATCTCCCTTTCTTAACTACCATAATCTCTGAGGTTAAACAACTCTCCTGGCCTCAAGGAACTTTATCTGTACCCTGTATCTTATCATTTTGTAGATCCTTCAGAGAGTGCCCAGAATTCAGGAAATCTATCAACCACAGAAGAGAAGGTCAGACACTACACTCTACTTTGCATGTTGTTGGAGAATATTCTCACAAACTCACAAAGAATTGAAACCAAGCTATCAAAGCAGAATGTTCTACCACACAGAGTGAGCCAGCACACCAGGCAGAAAGTTCACTTGTTTTGTGGTAACACAGGTCATGACTGTGACTTATCCCATTGGTGGAAACTGGACCTCAGAATGTGAAGTAATTGGCTAATTCATAATTGCTGAGAAAAAGAAGAATGTGATGGGAAGTCTCAGAAGTGTCCAAAGTTTGGCAGATAGCACATGCATGGGGTGTCAAGATGGGAGAGGTTTATGGATATTGGTGGCTTATCCACATTTAATAGAAGAAAACAAATTTTTTCTGTGTGTGGTGATAGGCAGAGGGAGGCGGATCTCTGGGTTCCAGGCCATCCAGGTCTAGTAGCAAATTACAGGCCATCTAGTCAGGAGTCACCAGCCAAACACAGAGGGAGCAGGAGATGAATATGCCATGCTAACCAAGGTACCACCACTTGGCAGAGCATAAATAAGGAATATGGGTTAACTTAAAATGTAAGAGCTAGTTAATAATAAGCCTGAGCTGTTGTTGGCTGAGCTTTTACAATTAATATTAAGCCTCTTTGATGGTTATTTGGGAAGCAGCTGCCAAAACACAGGAAAAACTCCACCTATATGTCACAGAAAAAAAAAAAAACAAGATCCTTACAATGTGAGAAATGGAAACCAGCCAAGGACACGAGGGACTTCAGGGCTCAGAAACTGTTCTAGAACAAGATAAATGAGGTCTTAAGAAAATTAAGACCATCAGAGCTAAGTGTGGTTGCATGCCTGTAATCTCAGCACTCTGGAGGTAGATGCAGGAGGATGAGGAGTTCAAGGCCATCCTTGGCCACATAGTAAGGATGAAACCAGCTTGAGCTACTAGAGATTCTGCATCAATAAAAAAAAATTAAAAACAAAAAACAAGTAACACCAGCTACAATATTTGGGAGAGCAGGCCCTGCCCCTCACCTGGGTAACACAACAGAGTCAACCTTGTTGGCAGAGGTGTGGGTGAGCCCACCCCAAAGTTGTAAGTGTGGGAAAGCTGTCCCCACTACTTGTCTGTCATGTGGTGGTGTGGGAGGGTGAGAGATGCCCTCTATTACCCATCACCCTTTACCACCTACAGATGAGAGGGCTGACCCCCCCTTTACCAGCTGCAGCACTCAGGAAACAGGCCCTGCCCCTCACCTAGGCAGCACAGCAGAGCTTTCCGGTGGTCAAAGGTGAGGGTGACCCAGTCCCAATCTTATGAGCAAAGGAGAGCTGTCCCCCTTACTCATCAGACATGTGGTAGTGTGGGCGAAGGAGAGATACCTTCCCCCACACACACCTCCCACCCATCAATGCCTGAGACAGGTGGAGGAGCTGGCCCTGAGGTCATAAGAGCAGGAAGGTTGTCCTACCCCTCATCAGCTGTACCTTACTTGGGCAACACAATAGAGCTGGCCCTAAGGGTGTGGGTATGGGAGAGCCAACCCTGAGAGTGTGAAAGCAGGAAAACTGGCCCCACTCTTCACTCGTTTTTGCAGGAAGTGAATTAGCTGGGGCAATGCTGGAGAGTTCACCCGAGTGGTGAGGACAGAGAACTGGCTGGTGGACCAACCCTGCAGCAGGCCAGGCCCGGAACCAGAACTTGGCCCACCCCAACATTCACCCCATCTGTATCAGAAAATAGAAAGATCTCCCATGCTCTTGGATAGGTAGGCTCAACATAGTAAAAATGGCAATCTTACCAAAAGCAATCTACAGATTCAATGCAATCCCCATCAAAATCCCAACATGATTCTTCACAGACCTGGAAAGAACAATACTCAACTTCATATGGAAAAACAAAAACCCAGGATAGCAGAAACAATCCAGTATAATAAAGGAACTTCTGGAGGCATCATCATCACTGACTTCAAACTCCACTATAGAGCTATAAAATAAAAACAGCTTGGTACTGGCATAAAAACACACATAGATCAATGGAGTCAAATTGAAGAGCCTGGCATTAATCAGCACACCTATGAACACCTGATTTTTGACAAAGAATTTATAACTGTACAATGGAAAAAGGAAATCATCTTCAACAAACGGTGCTGGCATAACTGGATAGCAACATGTAGAAGAATACAAACAGATCCATATCTGTTGCCATGCATAAAACTTAAGTCCGAGTGGATCTAAGACCTCAACACATATCCAGTTATACTGAACCTGATAGAAGAAAAAGTAGGAAGTAGCCTTGAACACACTGGCACAGAAGACTACTTCCTAAATATAACACCAGTAGCACAGACACTAGAGTAACAATTAATAAATGGGACCTCCTGAAACTAAGAAGCTTTTGTGGGGCAAAGGACACAGTAAATAAGACAAAACGGCAGCCTACAGAATGGGATAAGATCTTCACCAACCCCATATCTGATAGAGGTCTGATCTCCAAAATATATAAAGAACTCAAGAAACTAGACAGCAAAATATCAAATAATCCAATTTAAAAAATGGGGTACAGATCCACACAGAGAATTCTCAACAGAAGAATCTCAAATGGTCAAAAGACATTTGAGAAATTGCTCAACATCCTTAGCCATCAGGGAAATGCAAATCAAAATGACTTTGAGATACCATCTTACACCTGTCAGAATGGCTATGATCAAAAACACTGATGACAGCTCATGCTGGAAAGGATGTGGAGTAAGAGGAACACTCCTCCACTCCTGGTGGGAGTGCAAACTTGCACAGCCACTTTGGAAATCAGTATGATAGTTTCTCAGAAAATTGGGAATTAGTCTACCTCAAGACCCAGCAATATCACTCTTAGACATATACCCAAAGGATGCTCAATTATACTACAAGGACACTTGCTCAACTATGTTCATAGCAGGATTATGTGTAACAGCCAAAACCTGGAAACAACCTAGGTATCCCTCAACCAAAGAAAGGATAAAGTAAATGTGGTACATTTACACAGTGGAGTATTACTCAGCTATAAAAAACAATAACATCATGAAATTTGTAGGCAAATGGATGGAACTAGAAAAAAATCATCCTGAATGAGGCAACCCAGACCCAGAAAGACAAACACTGTATGTACTCACTCATAAGTGGATATTAGATGTAAAACAAAGGATAGCCAGGTTACAATCCATAATTCCAGAGAAACTAGGTAACAAGGAGGACCCTAAGAGGGACATGCATGGATCCACTTAGGAAGAGGAAATAGATCAGATCTCCTGTGTAAACTGGGAGAGGGGGAAGAGGGAAGGGGATGGGTGATGAGAACATGAGGGAATGGGATGGTCCAGTAGGGGGAGAGGTGGAGAAGAAAAGCAATGAAAGAAGTATCTTGATAGAGGGAGCCATTATGGAATTAGGGAGAAACCTGGTACTAGAGAAATTCCCAGGAATCTACAAGGATGATCCCAGCTAAGACTCCAAGCAATAGAGGAGAGGGTGCCTGAACTGGCCTTCCCCTGTAATCAGATTGGTGACTACCCTGTCATCATAGAGCCTTCATCCAGTGACTGATGTAAGCAAATGCAGAGATGTACAGCTAGGCACTGGGCAGAGCACCTGGAGTCCAGTCAAAGAGTGGGGGAAGGGATTATATGAGCAGGGGGGTCAAGATCATGACAGGGAAACCCACAGAGAGAGCAGCTCCAAGCTATTGGGAGCTCATAGACTCTGGACTGATGACTGGGGAACCTGCAGGGGACCTAACTAGGCCCTCTGAATGTGAGTGACAGTTGTGTGGCTTGGTCTGTTTGTGGGGCCCCTGGCAGTAGGACCAGGATTTAGCCCTGGTTCATCAGCGGGCTTTTTGGAGCCCACTCCCTATGGAGGGATACCTTGCTCAGCCTTGATGCAGGGAGAAGGGGCTTGGGACTGACTCAACTTGATGTGCCAGACTTTGTTGACTCCCAACAGGAGGCCTTACCCTCTCTGAGGAGTGGATGAGTGTGGGGTAGGGAGGAGGTGGGGGAGCAGGAGAAAGGGAGGGAGGGGAAACTGTGGTTGATATGAAATGGAAAAAAAATTTTAAAAAAAGGAGACCTTGAATTCACAACAAAGGCAACATGCCCTAAAAATAATAATAATAATCCACCCCATTTATGATCTGCTGGAGCACTAGAAGGGACCTTACACAAGGCAACAGCAGGATATCCGAGAGGAGTCTCAGTGAGGGCCCAGCATCAACAGTGTAATAGAAACCAGAGGCCTCGAACCAGACCAAACACTCTTTCCAAAGAACACTTGCAAGTAAAGATGTATGGATTAAAGGGTTTACTGCGTGATTCACTGTGTCACACTACAGATTCCATGACAAGATTTTTAATTTTTTCTCTTTTTTTCCCCTAGCTTTTGTTTTATTTGGGGATGGGGTGTAGGGGCGGAGGGTGGATGAGAAGGGATGGGGAAATGAATGGGATCAAGGTACACTTTGTAAAAGACGCACAGAATAAATAAAAAGAAAAACGCAAAAAAAAGTAACACGAACCCCCACTACCTCCCAAAAAAATGTAAAATTTGATGCTGGGAACTGAATTTGATCACAACACTGTAAAAGGGGGAAAAAGTAACCATCTATTTATTAATGGAAATTTCAAATGGAAACTAGAGTATAAAAATAATGTAGTGGACCTAACACTCAGCAAGTTCAGTCATGTGTCTCTAAGAGAGAGCCCGGACCAGTGGTAGCATGTCTGACTAACACCCATGAGGCCCAGGGTTCAATCCCAAGTACCTCAAAAACAAAAAAAGAGGGCTGGAGAGATGGCTCAGTGTTTAAGAACACTGACTGCTCTTCCAGAGGTCCTGAGATCAATTCCCAGGAACCACATGGGGACTCACAGCCATCTATAATGGGATCTGATGCCCTCTTCTGGCATGTAGGCAAACATGCAGACAAAATACTCAGATCTTAAAAAAATAAATAAATAAATAAAATTACTAAAATTTTTAAAAGAAAATGTAAAACTTCCTATATTGCCTAGAAATACACTTATTCCCAGGTTGGATCACTAGGTATTCCCAAATAAACCAAAAATGAGCAAAGGTCACAGGATGCTGGTCTGCCAGCTGGGCTAAACAGGAGCTAAGCACCTCTGAGTTCTGTAATCTGTGACTCTCCCTGCCTCCTGCCTATTCCTAAGGGCACTGGCCATCTGTCAAGCCTCCCAGCAGAGGAAGGCACACGCCTGTGTGAGGATGCTCAGGCCCCCAGGTAACTGCATGACAGAGTTTCTCCCAATGTCCTGAAGGCTCTAGCTACCATCTCACTGAATAGAAGGAGCAGAGGGACACAGTGGGAGCTGGAGGCTGTCACTCCAGGGGCTTAGTGTGTGGTGAGCCAAGGGGTTGGTACCAGGGCTGCTGGAGGGTGATACCAATGTCTCTGAAATCCTTCCAGTTCCACGCAGCCTGGAGTGCCCCTGGACATAGGTCTGTCCTCCCCAATAGGAATTCAGCTATCTGTTCCTGATTGCCTGATGGTTCTTGGGCACAGCCACATATCTCAGCTTCTTCATGATGGAGGGCCAGCCCAGCAGCTGCTGGTCCCACACATACTCTGGGGACAGCACCTTTGTAGGCTTGTGGTATAGCAGGTACTTGTTCAGATGGCTCTCATCATGCCACACAGCCTCTATGCCATTGACCTTGTCCTGCACCATAGCCTCATGACAGGCCTTGGTGAGATGGTACACCTCCAACACTGACCCCCCAAAGAAGGCCCCCATGTAGTAAAAGTCACCCTCATCCCAGGGGATGTAGGCTTGGGACTGTGGCCGGCGCTCATAGCTAAAGGCCTCTCGGCTGCTACTGTAGAAGCCAGGATGCAGGGTACCAAAGAGTACTGAGAGAATCTCCACACCCACGTGGTCACTGAACTTCATGTCCACATCTGCACACACCAGGTAATCCACCTCATGCAGAAAGCGCTCCTCTGAGAAGTGGCTGATCATCTCCATCCTGTGCATGGACACATCCTGCCAGCGGGTGTAGCTGCGCACAGTTAACACCACCAGCTTCCGTCCTGCACCCAGGGGCACCTGCGGCACGTCAGAGGGACGGTCAGTGAAGACATAGTAGGTGACCTTGTGTCCCACCATGAAGTGCTGCTCTGCTGTCTCCAGGAACAGCTTCAGGAACACCACATACCTGTGAGGGAGGACAAAGGGGTATGGAGAGCCTTAGTGCAGCTAGGGCAAGACTTGCCAGGGCAGGTCCAGGCTGCAGAATCCATGGCTACCTGGAGGCTTGAAGTGGCAGCATCCCCACTGTACAGCTGTCCTGACCAGTCTGCAGGCTGTACCTCACCTCACCCTCCTTTGCTGCAGAAGGGTGCAACGTCAGCACCACATCTTAGCAAGGAACGCTGCGGTAGAGGCCTGGAAGGTTTCAGCCAGGCAGCAGGTTGAAGTTCCTGCAGGTATCTCTTGTCTTGGCAACCCCTCAGCAGGCCACCTCTCCATGTGACTGTCACCATCCCCCCAATGACAGCTCCATCCCAAGACATTTTATGCCCCACACTCTTGCATTTGCCAGAGCAGAGCCTGTGTTCACAGGGCCCCACTTTCTAAACCCTGGTGGAACTGGATGGATCTGTAAGGGCCTGGGACCTGCACCCCTCCTTTGTGGCACTCTCCATGGCCCTTGTCAGGAAAGGTAGGAGTCTCCAAATCCCAGACCTTCCTCATCAGAGGCTGGAAAGTGCCTGTGGACAAGGCACTCAGTAACTCATGTATGTCCCTAAGTGTCATCCCACATTCACTCCACCAGAGGAAGAATCAGTCTCACAGAGCAGGCAGGGAAAGGGAGGCAGGTACCCTAGAAAGAAGGGCAAGCCTAAGCCAAATCCTCAGGTCCCAGGGCAAAAGGCTTCTACCCCAGGTTCTATGTCATCTCCCATACCAAGAAGTCTTCATCTGCTTCAGATGGCTGCTTCTCCCTTGATGACCCCCAGGGCCATGTGCCCCCACCATGGGAACAGGGATGCCCATCACCTGGCAAGTGTGCCAAGCCCTCTCCACTTCAATGTCAGAAACAGGCTGTTTTCCCATGCGGCTCTCACCTAGTTCCCTCAGAGGCCTTCTTCCCACAGACAGAGCACCTACCCACTCCTGGCAGGGCTCTTGCTCATGTACCCAGCAGCACCCAGTCAAAGTAGTGTTTGTGTCTTGTTACTGTGAAGTCCTTTGTCCACAGGAGCTCCAGGCATTCTCAAGGTGCCTAAGATCCCTCCAGCTGAGCCCCAAACCTCTCTCAAGTCTAATTGGTACAAAGGCCTCAGAGCTATCCTTGGATTTCACGCAGCACTGCAGGGAAGGACAAAGCCCCTTCTCGTATGCAGACAGCACAAATGGCATGTCTCAGCCACCCACAGCCTTCCACACTGTAATGCCACCCTGTCCTGCTCCCCACAGCCTTCCACACTGTAATGCCACCCTGTCCTGCTCCCCACAGCCTTCCACACTGTAATGCCACCCTGTCCTGCTCCCCACAGCCTTCCACACTGTAATGCCACCCTGTCCTGCTCCCCACAGCCTTCCACACTGTAATGCCACCCTGTCCTGCTCCCCACAGCCTTCCACACTGTAATGCCACCCTGTCCTGCTCCCCACAGCCTTCTACACAGTAATGCCACCCTGTCCTGCTCCCCACAGGCTTCCACAGGGCAAGTTTCTGGTCTGTGGCCTAAAGTGAGCCTGACCAGAGTCTCAGGGCTTCACAGGTCATCACCCCCAGGGCTGAGGTTAAAGGTTTCACACCCTTGCTGTCTACCTCGTCCTGCATCTGAGGACACATGGGTGGTCGCAGCTCTGCTGACATCCTGTTCCTTGCTGCCAGCCCTGGGGATGAGGACACCCACCTAAAGTGTGTGCTGAGGGATGCAAGTGTCACCTGGCTGAGAGCACAGAGGAAGAGGCAGCAGGTCTGGGGCTGTGGAAAGAGGCAGAGCTGGGCTCACTCACCTGTGAGCCCACCAGAGATAGAGATGGCGGCAGAGTAAACCAACCCCACCCCCACTGCATCCTAGATACAAGCATGGTATGCCTGGCCTCCAGCTTGACAATTGTGTGTACACACATATGTGCATGTGTGCGCATGCCCATTGCATATAGCCATGTTTACCTGCCTGTATGCCTGTGTGGAGGCCAGAAGTTGATTTGGGGTGTCTTCTTCTGTCATTCATCTGTTTTGTTCTTTGGACAGGATCCCTTCTCTGACTCTGAAGCTCACTGTTTGGCTATGCTGTCCAGAAAGCTGCCTCGATCCACTTGTCTCTCCCCTCCACCCACAGTGCTGGGATGACAGGGGCATGCCACCATGCACAGCCTTTACATGGATGTTAGAGATCAAACTCAGGTCCTCTGAAGCAAGTGCTTTACCCACTAGCCATCTCTCCAGCACCCACTGCTTACTTTTTGATGGCAAACACGGTCAGTCCAACTGTGGTGTTACGAAGCCTGAACTGTTCATTCAGTATGTCGATGTTGAAGGTCCCCTCCCAGATGATGGGAGCCAGCCAAGGGGTCAGGACAAGAACATCTTTCCTACTACATGAGGACAAAGCCACAGTCAACATGTGACCAAACATGCCTGCAGGAGCCCTTCTCAGATTCCACACCCTCAGCTGCCCCAGGGCTGCCCACCCTCCCCAGTGGGGCCTGGCCAATCAGCAGCAGCTCTCACTGACTACCCCCACCCCACTCCACCAACCATTAAAAACAACTGAGTTTACAGTCACTGCAGCCACCACATCTCTGAAAACTGATGACAGAGACAGGAAACAAGGAGCCAATCCCAGATGGGAAATGACAGACAGGAGATGCTCCGGGCTCCAGACCTGAGTCAGACAACCCTCGGACTCTGAAAGGGTTGTGAACTAAGGACAACGAGAATCACAATCAGGTCTTTGGTTTTTTCTGGGTTTGGTTTTTTCCGGTGCTGGAGACTGGCCCAGGCCTCAGGTGTGCTGCTGAACTATCCCCACTGCAAGCAAATCCTCCTTTAGTACCTTTACGGCACTTCCCATGCACTGACCAAATCTACTCACCTGGGTGTTAGCACCTTTGGCTGGGCATAGGCCATCCTGCAAAAAGACAACACCAGAACTCAAGGTGACAGGAAGGTCCCTGGAATGCATGTCACTGGCAGCTGTGCACCAGGCAAACAGACCTGCATGAGCAGTGTCAACCAAGCCACTGTGTACGTCCATGACCCTGGGAGAAGAGGATGGGCCGAAGCAGGAAGATGATAGTCTCCCTTGACATAAAGTAGGGAGAGGAAATCATGACACCCCTCCCCTTACTTAGGGCTGGGAGATCTAAGGACTACTTTAATGCACAAGCCGGATGAGACTGAACATGTCTGTCCCTGGAAGATGCCGACCATCCGACCTGGGCCTGCAGCCTGCCTTGGTCCTCTCCTTAGCTGGTGGCACACAGAGTCCTGGCTCTCTGTCTCGGTCAGAGACCAGTCCCAACATCAGTGTGAAGTTCCCTCAAAAGGTCAGGCCCCAAGGGACAAGAGCCACTTCTGCTAGTAAGCTGCGTTCTAAGCCGGCCTGTGGAGCAGAGAGCAGGGCTGGAGAGACGCTCAGTGGTAAGAGCACTGGCTACTCTTGCAGAACAACAGGATTCCGTTCCCAGCACCCGCATGGAGACCCACAACTGTCTGTGACTCCAGTTCCAGGGGACCTGAGGGCCTTTTCTGGACTCTCTGGGCACAGGCACAAATATGGTACACAGACATACATGCAGGCAAAACACTCATACACATAAAGCCAGGGAGCTCTGGAGAGTCATCAAAGGTGTGACTGCCTCCCAACACAAGTGGGGGGCGGGGCAGAGTGCTCTGCAGCCGTGGAAAACTGACACAAGAGGGAACTGAACAAAGAGCAGGTGGGGGCAGTGTAGTCTAGTGGGAAGCACAGCATAGACAAAGATCATGGCCAGAGTCCCACTCAAGGGCATGCATGGCTGGGCAGGAATGCAGAGGCGCAGGCTGCTGGGGAGGGTCAGCAGGCAGGATCTGATTTCTGAAAGCCTCCTACCTTCTGTGCTGAAGGATTATTAGCTACTGTAAGGGAAATAGGGCTGAGACAGATGAACAGGCATGTGGCTGATGCAAGGTTGCAGCAGGTCCAGGAAAGCAGAGCCAAGAGATGCCTTCCCGAAAGGCAGACTGACAGGATCTGGGACTGAGGGAGGGAGGGACCTCCAACTTGGGCCTGGTTGCAGAAGAAGGCAAAGCCCTTGCACTCAGCAGGCTGCTGGGGTGGTGGGTGGGGAATGGAAGCTGTTCTTGGGGCTGCCAAGGCGGGTACAGAAGGGAGGATGAGGCTGAAGACGGGAAAGACAACAGTGCTCCCTCCCCAATACATTCTCCCTTTAGAGACAGCAGGGGGCAGCCTAGAGAAGGACTGGACCCATCCATGGAGAGGTAGAGTCAGAGGCCACAAGGCAGAAGGCAGCAGAAAGTTCATCCAGCCGGTAGCCCATTCTCACATGTGTATGACACACACACATATCACACACACACACACACACACACACACACACACACACACACACACACACACACACCACACAACATACATTTTATACCCACTCACCTAGTCCCAGCTTCTGAGTTTCCCAGTTCCTGGCTTCTGTGGCTTGGGAACCCATAGCTGCAGGAAGGACACACACAGAGGCAGCTGTTCAGGACACAGACCTGAGACTGGCTGGCTGTCCCTCCCTCCAAAATGCACCACTGTACCCAGTGAGCACAGACGTTCCCAGTGGGGATGCAGGGCCAGGTGACAGGACTAAGCAAGCTCACCCTGCTGGAAGAAGAGGTGGCAAGAAGGGCCCTGGGGACAAGGCCTGCATCTGGACACCTGAAGCAGCTGCAGACAGCCCCAAGACCGCACAGCCTGGCTGTGTCTGCAGAAGCCTCAGTAGACCTGGCAGTGTCTTTACTCTGTGAGTGTTCACAAACCGTCTGCATCTAGAGAGGGCTGCAGTCCATCCTCCAGGCCTGCCTTCCTCTCCTTCTCCAGGTCCACCCTCACAGCTAGGGCCAAATGACTGGGCACCCAGCCCCATATGTGGAATCAGAGGGGGACGGACATCTGTCCTGCAACCGAGCCTGCCCTATGGGGACAAGCAAAAGCTGGACATGCCACTGTGTGAGTGGCCAAGAGCACCCTCGTCACTGCCGTGGTAGTGGGGATGCTCACAGTCTCAGGGTCCCCATCAGGGTCTCAGGAGCTGTTCCTCACCAGCCTGGATTCTTACCCAAAGAAGACCAAGGCAACCACTGTGAGGGGAAGGATTCCGAGGTGAAGTGAGTAGCATTTTGGTCTTCCTGAAAAACAGCAGCACAGGATCCCGTTACTCACCCCCTTCCTGACCTGACTCCCCTCCAGGCCTCTCCTGAGACTCAGAGGTCATCCTGAGCACTGCAGCCACCACTGTGCCCTATCTCAGCCCCAATCCCAGCTGGAGCTCCAGTCCCACTGAGCACTCAGAAGGTAAAGAAGGTTGTTCACTTCCTGCTCAGGACTCCAGCTGCTCCCTTGGGACCTCAAGGTCCCTTGGGCCCTCAAGTCCTCATGCCACTGAGCACCCCTTCCTGCGATAAACTGAAATGAACCAAAATGAATACTTCAGGGTCACTGCTCCCCCTCTGGCCCCTGTATGCTCACACCCACAGGGACAGCAATTGGTCTGTTCTAGTGATATTTACTCATGCTGAGGTTGAATCCCAGAGCTGATGAGTGTTAGGTAAGTGCTCCACCACTGGACTATGCCCCTAATGCCTCAGGTGATTTTCATGTCTCTAAAAGTTATGTATTCTCACAATCAAGTTCAAATAGTCCTAAAGACACATATGTAAATAGACTCATATGTGGGCTCTGGAGAAAGAGCTCAGTGGGTAAGGCTTTTGTCACAGCCACACAAGCATGAGGACCTCAGTTCAGATCCCCAGAGCCTATGTAAATCCAGTCATGTGAAATCCCAGCACTCCTGTGAGGAGATGGGAGGGGAGATGGGAGGTCCCTGGAGAGTCACAGGCCAGCTAGCCTGCACACAGGGAGGAACAACATAGAGACCCTGTCTCAACAAGGTGAAAGGCAAGGACTGACACCCACGGTTGTCCTCTGACCCTCACATGCACTCCCACACTCACACACTGTGTTCCTAAAGGTTTCTATCTAAAAAGGCTTACCTCTCCCGTCCCAGTCCGTTACTTTCCCCTTTGAACCACTTGATGCGGTACTCTGTTTATTTTATTTATTTAATTAATTGTATGTGTTTATCTTAGTTTTTATTTTTTGGGTTTGTTTGTTTGTTTGTTTTTTGAGACAGTGTTTCTCTGTCTTAGCCTTGGCTGTCCTGAAATTGCTCTATATACCAGGCTGGCCTGGAACTTAGAGATCTATCTGCCTCTGCCTCCTGAGTGCTGGGATTAAGGGCATATGCCACCAACAACCCTAAAAACTTATTCTGAGGCATAATTTATATCTAATAAAATATGTCCATTTTAGATATTGTTTGATAATGTTTGAACAAGGAACTCCCCTTGCTGTGTATGCCCCCACATTCCCCTCCTCATCTACATAGGAGTCAGGAGACACATGTGCCCTCAGCCTGGCTGTTTACATAACACGATGCTGTCAAGAGTCACCACAGGGTCATGAGTGGATTTTATTTTTTATTGCTTTTTTTCAAATGCCCCAATAGTTTCAGCCATTTATGAAAATACATCTTCCTGTCACATCATTCTAGCATTCATCAAAAATTACGTGGTGGGAGCTGGAAAGATTGCTCAGGAATTAAGCACACTTGCTAAGCAATCACGAGGATCTGAGTTGGGATCCCAGTATCCATGTAACACAACAGGCATTCCAGGAATGAAAGTCTGTAACCAGGACTCTTGAGTGAGTGTGGTGGTGGTGGTGGTGGTGGTGGTGGTGGTGGTGGTGGTGGTGATCAAAGAGGCTTGCTGACTTCCAGCCTGACTGAGGAAACTGAGCCTCAGCTTCAGAGAGAGACCTTACCTCAAGGGAACAGGTAAAGAGTGATAAAGGAGAATGCCTGCCTGGTGCCTTCTTCTGGCCTCAGTACTCACACTCCTGGGTGTTCGTGTGTGTGTGTGTGTGTGTGTGTGTGTGTGTGTGCCCATGTGCGTGCGTGCGTGCGTGCGTGCGTGTTTAAAAACACTGGCTCAAAGTCCCAGCCTGGATGGTGGCGGCTCATGAGGTCCCACTTCTATCTAAGGAGCTATTGGTAACTCTCAGCTGCTGGGGAGGGAAGAGTCCATTGTCTTCAGGAATGCAGCCTCTGAGAAGCTCCTCATGCTCCAGTAGATGACCCCACACCCAAGCACATGCAGGTGGCATTAAGTGCAATCAGTGGGTTAAAAAAAAAAAATCGCAAGAAGTTGTGAGGGAAATGTGTGGGGAGGAAGAGAGGAGGAGATGAAGGGACAGAGGAGGGATATAGGGTAGATTTGATCAAAACATATCTATGCATGTATGAAATACTCAAACAATAAAAATAAATCAAAAAAAGGAAAAATATTTTCACTCAAGCTGGAGGGACAGCTCAGCAGTTCAGAGGACACACTGCACTTGCACAGAACCCGAGTTCAATTCTCAACACCCACATTAGGTGGCTTACAACCTCCTGTAATTTGCACGCTAAGAGGGCCTGCTGATATCTGGCTTCCACAAGTACTTGTTCACATACCTACACACAGACATACTCATTCACATAATTTTAAAATAGTAACATTAAATCATTTTTTAAAAACACTTATCTAGCCAGGTGGTGGCAGCACACACCTTTAATCCCAGCACTCAGGAGACAGAGGCAGGCAGATCTCTGTAAGTTTGAGGCCAACCTGGCCTACAGGACACCCAAGGCTACACAAAGAAACCTAGCCCAAAAACAAAAACAAACAAAGCCACTTAACTACACACAAGTGGGTCCATTTCCGGCCTCTGTGACCAGAATATGGAGCTTTGGTTCTACCCTAAATCCAACCTGCACTGACACTCTATCAAGGACATAGGGGTGAGTTGAGACTATAGGGGCATATGGCCATATTAAAATCATACCTGGGAAACTGAACGGTGGTCATTTGAATAAGAATGGCCCCTACAGGCTCATATTTGAATGCATTGTCGACAGGGAGTAGCACTACTTGAGAAGGTGTGGCCTTGTTGGAGGAAGCTCAGGTTTTTTTTTTTTTAACTTTGTTTCAAAAGCCCAAGTCTAGCCCAGTCTCTCTCACACTCTTGCCAGCTGCCTGTGGGTCAGGATGCAGCTCTCAGCTACTGTTCTAGTGCTTGCTATGTATGCCACTATGATGATAATGGACTGACTATAAGGCTGGGAAACTATAAGCAAGGCCCCCAATGAAATGCTTTCTTTTATAGGAGTTGCTGTGGTCATGGTGTCTCTTCACAGCAATAGAACAGTAAGACAGAAAGAAGTTGGTACTGAAAAGGAAAAATCAGTAGCCATCTTGAGAGACGCTTCCCCCTCCCCTCTTCCAAAGGTATTTGCTGACCAGCAGTTTTAGAAGTGATCAGAAATTGAACTTACAAGGCTGGAATAAGAAATCTATGCATCCTGGACTTGGCAAAACAAGATATAGGGAGTAATGGACTCAACTGACCAGACGTTGACCTTAGAGGAGTGTAAGACTTCAGCAATAAATCTGAATGTGTCCACAAAAGCAGGACATAGGGAATAAAAATTTATGTCTCTATAGATACCCTGAATCCTGTTAGCAATTAGTAACCTTATGCTTACCTCACCCCTAGCCCCCTCATCCAATCCCAAGCTGCATGTAAACTTTTCCTATATAAACCCCTTAAAGTGAGTGCTCGGGGCCCGTTCTCCCCACCCGCTGTGCCAGATGCTAGACACCGGACCAAGCTTGCTTGCTTTGTTAGTAAGAACCTCTGTGTGCTTGCATCGGATAATGGCTCTGTGGTAGTCTTGCTTGGGGGTCTTACGACCTGGGCACAACAACACCAGGGAGTGGGGTCTTGCTGTGGCTTGGTTGTCGACCCTGGACTAGAAAAGTGGTTGAACTCTTTAAGCCAGATTTAATGCGCATCCTCGTAGGAGCATGGAAGACAGCAGTGCTGAGAGGATATAAATTACGAGGGCCCAGCTCAGGTTTCAGAGGGGAAGAATAGTAATGGCCTAAGGACCCTTCTTGTGATAATTTGGCAAAGAATTCGGCTGCTTTCTGCCCTTGTCCAAAAAATATGCCCGAGGCTAAAATAAAGAGTTTTGCATTAACGGTGCAGAAGCGAAGATTTAAAGACAGCCTACTACTGACAGGGCTAATAACATTGTTGTTCTCAGTAATCACTTAAGCAGACCTATAATGAAAAGGAACAAGCTGGACAAAGAAACTACAAAATGTCCCGGGTGAGGAGAAAAGGAGCACCAGAGGTGTAATGGAGCTAAGTCCAGTGCTCAAGGAGATAAAAAGTTTAATGAAAAGCCTGATGCACCTCGGGCAGGGGTGGATACTCACTCCACCTGCAGGGATCCCCTGAGTCCTCCCTTCTTCTGTTCTTAGCTCCCATTTCCCTGCGGACTCCAGAAGCTTTTCCAGGAGGCTACCTGAGACTGCGCTCCCACCCAGGTGGGACTAGAAAAGGGAGGGGAGTGTAGAGAGGAGGCCTCAGACCCTAACCCGGCGACAGAGCCCGCGCTGCTTATGGCTGTCCCGCTGAGGTCACTCACCTAACCGCAGCTTTGCCATCGCTCCACCGTACCTGCTCCAGCTCCCGCCGCCCACCACCGCAGCATCAGCGATCAAAGCCCGCCCGAAGGATGCTGGCAGGGAGGAACACGCCCGGGAACACAGACCCTCCTACTCCCGGAACTTCTAAAGACAACAGTTCCGCAGACAGAAGCCAAGGTCACCCGCCCAAAGGCTGGGGCTGGTGCCGAGAAGCCCCGCCTCTCCTGGCCTGTGTCATCCAGACCATTAGCCTGGGGCACACGCTCGACCTAGGGACAAACACACTGGTGCCCCTCCCATTGATCCCACCCCAGAGCATCCTGAACAGTTCCTGCCTAGGGACCCTCAGCCCCCCGCACTAGCGGCCTGTTACACCCTGCAACTCGTTTCCAGGACTCCGGTGTACCCCTCCGCGTCTCCAGCCCCATGGTCCTGTCCCAAGACCTAGGCTTTGTGCTCTGCCAGATAGGATCTCTGGGCTGACACTGGACCCTGCGGAGAGGAAGGTTGAGTGCACGAGGACCATGGTGGCAGCAGATTCCCTCTTCTGGCTGGTGTGTCCAGGCCTGTTGGTGACCTCTTCACTGCTTCGCTTTCTGTGACCCAGTTTTAGCAGGTGACACAGAGTCGCCCAGAGGTGACGGGGTCGAGCAGAAAGGAGTTTGGTTCCCCCGTAACTTGATTAATTTTTGAATTCACGTTTCTTACTCACCTGTCCTTTCTAATTCCTGTCAGCTAACTGCCTTCATCCTCCCACCGATGTTAGGCCTGGGCCCCAGGGCCTCTGTGGGCGAGAAACCTGGGGCCTTAGGACCGCGGTACATCTCACCATCTCCCTTCACTTCTCTCCTAGCCACTCCTTCTCAGGCTTCCACTACCTGGTTGAGAGCTAGTGAACTGGAAACCAGCCATGCAAATCCCAAGGCTCCACTCTCTCTCCTCCCCTCACCTGGCCTGTTAGGAGAGAGAGAGACCACAGTTTATGCACCAGAAGACTCAAAGCTGTGGAGATACCTGCTCTTCCCAGCCTGTGATACAGAGCACCATCAGAATCCTAGCTGGAGCAGGGTCCTGTGCTGTTTGTTGTTCCTTTTGGGGGAGGGGGTCAAGTAGGTGCAGACTCTGGGAGAATGTCAAAACAACAAGCTCAGTTTATTCAGGAAGAGGCAAGCCGTATATGCCCTCTACCCCAAAGATCCTGTCTCAGCTGCTGTTGCTAAGGCCCTTAGGCAGACCCAGGTTGGCGCTCAGAAAGCATCTTTTTTACTTGTTTCAGCCGGCTGGCCCTCAAGCCTGTTAGGGATGAGTCATCCCCCACCTAGCAAGCCATTCCGTAAGTATCGGCAGGCTGATTCAGAGCTGGGAATTTGTCTCAGTTGGTAGAGTGGCTTTCCTAGCATATACAAAGCCAGCGTTTGATTCCAGCTCTACTTTGCAGGTAGAGGCAGGAGAATCAAGATTTCAAGGTCATCCCTGGCTACATAATGAGTCCAACACCAGCCTGAGATAAGAGACTCTGTCTGGGGAAAAAAGACTAATTTTAAAATTTATGTGGGGAAGCAAAAGCCCCCAGGAAAGCTGACACAGTGATGAGGGATAAAGCCAGAGGACTCACACTGCCTGAGGCAGTATGGTATTTGAAAGACTAGACAAATAGATGAGTGGAGCAGAACAGAGAGCCCAGAAATAGACCCACAGATATCAGTCCACTGATCTTTTGCAAGGAGTAAGGACAGTGGAGAAAGGACAGTGCTGATAAGCTGAACACCCACAAGCAAACCAAACAAGCAAGACACTGCCTAGCCTTCATGAAAGGTAATCAGTACAGCTCACAGATTTAAATGCCAATATAATTCCTAAAGGATCACTCAGGAGGAAATGCAGAGCATAAGGGTTTTGATGATGACCTTTTAGACACAACACCAAAGTCTGGGTACATGAAAAAAATGATTAAGTTACCTTTCTTTAAAATTAATTTTTTTTCTGCTCTAACAAAGGAGCAAAGGAAAGACAAGCCATAAACTGATTGCAAAAGACATTATCTGATGGACTATCATCCAAGGTACATAAAGAATTCATAAAATCCAACCATATGAAACCAGCCAACCCTACTGTGGTGGTTAAATTTAACAGTCAACTTGACAAGCTCTAGAATCAATTAAGACACATCTCTGGGAAGACATTTCCAGAACCACGAACTGAGTGGCCAGCACCTTCCTGCAGTGGCCCCGATGTAGAGGGCTCCAGGGAAGACATTTCCAGAACCACGAACTGAGTGGCCAGCACCTTCCTGCAGTGGCCCCGATGTAGAGGGCTCCAGGGAAGACATTTCCAGAACCACGAACTGAGTGGCCAGCACCTTCCTGCAGTGGCCCCGATGTAGAGGGCTCCCGGGAAGAGCCTCGTGCATGCTTTCCTCCCTCAGCTTCTTGCTGGTAAGTGTCTGTCATGGCTGCCACTGCCACAGCCACTGCCTGTTGTCAACAGCCTCATCTGAGAGAGAAACACAGGTCACTGGCTGCACTGTGAGCATGGAAAAAACTACCTGAAACCTACCCGGACCTTCCTCAAAATATTCCTGGGCCTTTCAGAATCTTTTGCTGATTTCTCGGTTGCCTTACAAAAGCAGTAAAAAAAAAAAAAAAAAAAAAAAAAAAAAAAAAAAAAAGATGGGTGGTTGCTCAGCCAGCAAACACGAAGTCTTTGTCCATTACAGGCAAGCGCGGAGGCTAGGCAGGCCAGTTTGCTTTGGATGGGGGAAACCAGGGCATCTGCAGAAGAACTTGTGGCTCCCAGACAAGCTAATGGTAACTTTACCATGCCAAATTCTGCACTTGTTGGCTAATCAGTGGAGAACAAGTTTTATAAAGATGGGCAACCCCTTGCCTGTCTTCCTGTGACACCAGGAAATTGCAGTTATCAACAACTCCAGGGATATCCCTGTTACAGAGTGAGGACCCAAAGACCACTCAGCACCACCAAAGTCCGAATTGAGAGTCTCTATTAAGCCAACCAGCAAATGCCTGGGGAGAAACGCTTCTTACAGAGCAGCCCCAAATGCATATTACAGGGCGTTTGTAAAGACAAAGAACACAGAAAAACTACATCCTGGTTGGCAGTTGCATGGAGAAGCAAGCAAGCAAGCAGTTGAACAAGAGCCAAGAACATGCAGTTAGCTGGGGCATTTCGACCCTGAGTTTCTAGAACAGGATTGGGTGCTTTCCCACGGGACTTTTCAGAACAGGGGGTAGAAACCAAAGATGGCTTCAGCTGAGACAAGATGGAGAAACTTTTGCCCTGTTACAATACCCAGTGGGTAATGGAGTGTTTCATCTCTCCCAGCACAACCTCGGAAGGTGCAGGATTTGACCTGCTAGCAGTATTACTATTGCAATGGACACACAAGCAGTGCTGACAGGAATTTCCCCAGGTCAGTGGGATCAGGTTTGGGGGCAGGTGGTCTAAATTTAAAGGGAGTTATTGCTGTCCCTGGTGCAGTTGATGAAGATTATCCTGGAGAAATTAAGGTATTTAGGTCTTCAAGAGGACTGTTGTCTATTGACAAGGAACGCTCTATTCCTCAATTGCTGTTACTATCTTATGTCCCATGAACCAAAGAAGTTTAGAGTGAGGATACCAGGGGGTTGGAAATACAGGAAAATGTCCTATCATGTGGTCACAGCACATTACTAGGGAACAACCTTCTTTTTCACTCTTAAATTATAAAACCTTTTCTGGTCTTATCAATACTGATGTTAATGTTACTATTATTTCTTCTATGTTTTGGCTACAAAAATGGCCTACTCTTAAACTGTCCTCCATTTTGATTGGAGGTTGAGTTCCCAACTGGGGTAAAAACAAGGAGTTCTGAGATTAAAATAGAGAGGTCATAAAGGATATACAGAATTTATAGAGCTGTTTGTGGCAGACATTCCTGTGAATATATGGGGGTGAGATTTGTTCTCTCAGATGGAAGTTACTGTCTCTTCTAGTAGAATTAAAGTACCTATGTCCCTAAAACTGGGAAAAATAAAGATGGTTTAGTGTCACCCTTTGAGATTTTTGTTTAAAATTGGTCAATTTGGTTTAGGACATCCAAATTTATTAAAAAAAAAAACTGTCACTGATAATGCACCAACCTAGATGTGTGCTTTTCCTGTCATCTGGTCGACTGACTTCTCCAATTTGGGTTAATCAGTGGCCAATAAAAGGGGGAGATGGAATATCTCAAAGTATTGCTACAGTATAGTTGAAGAGCTGAAGTATAGCAACAACTGGACGTGGGGCATAGGGGACCCTCCAACAGCCTTGGAATCCTCCTGTTTTCACCAGACCAATGAGATCAGAAAGGTGACCATTGCCGTAGCATGTAGCATGGAGGCTTACATGTAGCCCATGCAACCAGGTTTGTGCACACCCATGGTCATTCCTACAGATTAGTCTCTTATTGTGAGAGATTTAAAAGATTGCTTTTTTGGTATTCCTTCAGACTATCAGGATAAAGAAAAGTTTGCCTTTCTGTACCTGTACTTAATAATAAGGAACCTGTACAGGGAGATCAGTGGAAATTTCCTCATCAGGGAATGGTAAACAGCTCCAATATATGTCAATGTTTTGTGGCAGAAGCCTTGTTGTCCATGCAGGAAAAATACCTTCAAGCTTACATTATACAATATATGAATGATATTCTTTTTACTAACAAAACTCATACTGTCCAAAGTCACACCAGAAAAATAAAATGGATAGCACCTTTTCAATAGTTGAGATATATGGGGGATACATGCCCTCAAAAGGTACAGCTTCAAATGTCATCCTTAAAAACATGAAATAATTTTCAAAAACTATTGTGTGATATTAACTATGTGAAGGACCCCTACACATTTCCACAGCTGAATACCAACCTCTTTCTGATGTTGCTAATGGAGATTCTGACCTAGGCTCTATGAGGATCCTCACTGCTAAGTCTCAAACCCTGTGTAACGATTGAGAAAGCTATTCAAAATATTCAACTGACAAAAGTGCATTGTGACTTAATTGTATACCTTTATATTTTGAATACACCTGTACTCCCTACAGACATGCTGGCTCAATTGACCCCTGCCCTAATCATCATAAAAGGGACAAATTTACCATCTCAACCCCAAAGGTCTGTTACCCACTTCTATTAACTTAACTTTGTATCAAGTAGGAAAAGGATGTAAATGATCAATTCAGTTATGGAAACCCAGATTCTATTGTCCTTTTTGATGCTTCCCAAATTACTTC